AAAAAAAAAAAAGTGGTGCATAAGTAACAAAAAAAAAAGGAACAAAAAATACTGCTGGGATTTTTATGCTGATGATCTATGAGCTAAAACTTATTCCTAGTGTGGTGCTGTAAGGTAAGCACTGGGCTGCTAACTACGAGGTCAGCAGTTCAAACCCACCAGCTGCTCCTTGGAAACACTATACAGGGTCACTATGAGTCTGAACCAACTTGACAGCATTTAACAACAAGGAAAAAAAAATGTTAACAATCATTAATTTGTGCTAGATAACAGTTGCTTCCTTGGAAATAATGTGAATCAATATTCTGTTAAACCTATTGCCTTCCCCTTCCAAGAAGAAATAAATTAGCAATTTTATTTAAGTACAAGATATGTAGAAAAAAAATGTAAAGGAGAAGATATTTGTATCTATTCAGTGGGACCGATAAATAAACCAGGCAAAATGACGTACACCGATGACAGTAGAAATGTAGAGAAGTGGCACAGATCCAGGACAAGGGACATGAACTTCCTAAAAGGAAAACATAAGGAATGCCTTTCTGACCCGATTATCACTGTGTGAGGGTCAACATTTTCTGTGTAACAATATCAGAAAAAATCTATTTGTTGGAAACACACGAATTTTCCTGTGTTTGGGATTTAAATGCATAAAGGTGTGCCATGAAAATCCAAAATTCCCTTTAACGGTTCATATGAGAGTTAAGCATAAGAGGTGCTAACAGATAGTGTATTTTTAAAGGACTGCATGTTTCAAATGTTTATGGAAATTTCCGAGTCAACACAAGCAGGTTTCTTAACTTTTCACACTCTTGATAAGCTGCTATTTATTGTGTGCCTCTGAAAGTGTATGTGTGTGTAAGTGCCGTCGAGTCCGTTCCCACCCATAGGGACCCTGTATAGGATTTTTGAGGAGCAGCTGGTGGGTGTGAGCTGCCGACCTTGCAGTTTAAACTGACCTTGCGGTCCAGCGCATTATCTTGCAATGGATAGTATGGAAGGAGTATTTCTAATTGGCAGCCCACTCTAGACGGGATTGTTCTTCTGATGAATACACATTGAGAAGCATCAATTTATATTTAAAAATTTTTTAATGACTATAAGTCATCTTTTGCAATAGTAAGAGCTACTATGTGTAATGCATATAATACTATGAAGTTAATAAATGAATAGGATACTTACTTATGTAGACACTAATGTGCATAAGAAAATTCTTCTGTTGTTAAAAGCATTTATTTCTCTCTCTACAGAACAAATTTCAAGGAATGGTCTTTGACTTTGTAACCAGACAAGTTTTTGACATAAGTATCATGATTCTAATCTGTCTCAATATGGTCACTATGATGGTGGAAACAGATGACCAGAGTGAAGAAATGACTATTATTTTATCACGCATCAACCTGGTGTTCATTGTTCTGTTCACTGGAGAGTGCGTGCTGAAGCTCATCTCCCTCCGACATTATTACTTTACCATAGGCTGGAATATCTTTGATTTTGTGGTTGTAATTCTCTCCATTGTAGGTAAGAAATATTTAAGTCTCTTAAATATTTAATACAAGTAAAAAGTTGGAACATTCAAATTTAGATCCTAGGTCATCCCACCATTCAAAGATAAACACTGTGAAGATTATAATGTGTTTTGTACAGGTGAATTTGATATTATACAATGTGAGGCTCCCGCTACACATATGTAAAACTCTACATCCTATTCTAGAGTCTTGGTGTGGCACTGTAGGATAAAAACCAGACCACATAGGTTGGTTTGAATAGCAAAGCCAATGGTTCAAACTAACCAGCCGCTCCTCGGAAGCTCTATACAGGGTGGCTATGATTCGGAACCAACTTGACGGCACTTAACAACAACACATCTTATTCTGTCCATTTTAAATGTCTAATATGTTAGTTGCCAATACAGTAAAGCCTCATGTATTGTAACTAAAAATGTGTTATTAACTAAGAAAAAAAATGATCTCAACCTTTTGAGATTGAAGAACGATAAAAAAAAAAGATTTTACCAGATGATTCTGGTAAAGAGAGTACTTGAAATTAGCCTGGTACTGATAAGATACAGTTCTCTTCAAGATAGGTAGAGTAATCAGCATGTAGATTGTAGTGTAAGCTAGACAATGGTTTATAGTGCAAGATTGATAGTTAAAAACAGAATAAATAAAAGGACAGAACTTTAGCAAATGCTCTTTAAGCGTGTCAGGGATTTTGCTGGATTACCTTGGAGATGAGTTTTTTTTTATAATGATGTGCAATGGAATTAAGGTGCCCTGGGATCCTATTTCTTAGTTATACACTCAAAGCCTCAAATGTAAGCAGGTCTCACAAGCACTGGCTCATCTCATTGAAGATACAATTAGATATCTTTGCTTTACTGAACAGGATAGAAAAGTATCCAGTCTGTGGGCCATTTAATACTTTCCTAAACTAGCTGACCTGATTGGGTCAATTTTTTTATTATTCAATATCAGGTACCAGAGATCTGGTAGCATAGTGGATTATGAGCCAGGCTGCTACCCACAAGGTCAGCGGTTCAAATCTGCCAGTTGTATCAAGTAGCTATATTAGGCAGATTTCATGCAATATCCCCTTTGAAGAAGTTGGCCTTATATCCAACTCACTGAAATTTTGTATTAATCTACAATATAATGAATTGTAGCTAGGGTACCATGGTTATATTCTCTTTTAGTCTCTCTCAGCTGGGATGCTAACCTAAAGGGCAGGAGTTCGAAACTACCAGCCATTTCATGGGAGAAAGATGAGGCTTTCTGCTTCCATAAAGATTTACAGCCTTGGAAACCCTATGTAGGGTTGCTATGAGTTGGAACCGACTCCACGGCATACCACCGCCACCACCACCATACACACAACCTGCTTAAGGTTACTCTTTTTAGAATGAGGCAGTATAACTCACAGTTAATTTTCTTGGGCCCCTTTTTAGCTCAGCCCTTCTTTAAGAGGAAAAAGGATTAAAGAAGCTTCAAAGAAGAGAACTGAGAGACCAGTGTTAGACACAGGAAGCCAAGAAAGAACATCAGTCTTGGATCCATTTAGAAATGTACCAGAGCTTACATAAGTAAATGTATAAGAAAATTTTAAGGAAGCGTCAAGTTCAGGGAGAGATGAAAATAGCATGAAATGCTGCAGATGCTTTTGGATGCATACGGACTGAAAAGAGGAAACTGGATTTGGCAATTTCAGAATAAAAGTTTGCACTTTACACTGTTGGCCACTGCAGTTAATGCAGACTTTGCTTTTTTTTTTTTTTTCAAACCAAAGGTCCACATGTTTATTAGCCATACTTTTAATGCAGAAGCATAAAAACAAAGGAAGGAACCAAAAGTTTTACAAAACATGTTCAATTGATTAGATTTTGGCAAAATTGAACTTGACATGGTAGAGTGCTGCAACCTAGGTATACTATGTGCGCCATCACATGTGCAACTCCTTAGAGCCCCAGCTTGGTTCCCTCCAGTGCCTTCTCTTGGAATTGTATCTGATTTTATTACGAGTTTTCATTTGAATCCATTGGGGGATGGGAAGATTCTGCTTTTGTTTCTTTAGCAGGAATCTCTTGATCCTGAAAGTCTTAAAATAAGACGTAGAGACGATGAAATGTCGCAGCACTCACACGATGGTGAAGAAAGAAAGAATGCATTTTTAGCTTAATTTATTCTATTTTTATTTGGAATTTTACATAGATTAAAAATAGCCTACAAAACCCTATAAAGAGAAAAAGCACTGTGATTGTTTTCAATGAATAGTTTATTGCTGAATATCATTAATTGTTAAGTGCCGTCAAGTCTCTTCTGACTCACAGTGACCCTCTACAATATTTTCTAGGAATAGCTTGTGAGTTTGAACCACTGATCTTGTAGTTACCAGTCCAATGCTTATGCTACAGTGCCACTATTTTACAACTTATTGTTAAGTGAGTTTTTAAATTATATATAACAGTACTATATATAGTGATGTTGTTAAGTTTCTTGAGTTATATAACTAATATATATTATACCTGATGTATTGGCAGTTCAAGCTCTCCAGATGCTCCTCAGAAACCCTATACAGTATTGCTATAGATCGGAATCAACTTGATGGCACTTAACAACTTGATGGCACTTAACAATCCTATACGTTGTTGTTGTTAAGTGCCGTCGAGTCAGTTCCGACCCATAGCCACCCTGTACAGGGTTTCCGAGGGTGTAAATCTTTATGGGAGTAGAAAGCCTCATCTTTCTCCCGCGGAGTGGCTGGTAGTTTCGAACCGCTGACCTTAA